GCCTGAAGTCCCCTCAGCAGTAACACAACGCTCGAAAGGGAACAGCTTCAGGCCTTTCCTTCAAATTCATTACTATGTTGGTTCAACATAATTATTGAGAACAGAGCCGCAAACCAAAATCCAAAAGTTTATTTATATATATATAGCAAATTAAGAATATATATATATATTTTCTTTGGGAAACAATATTTTTATTCCACTTCTATTGAGTCAGCAGGTGATAAATAGCAGTGTGCCTTGTAATGTGTTGCCAGGTGTGTGATCTTTAGCTTAAGTATTTTTAAGTACTTACAAACATGTCAGCCTCACTAAATCAACACACTGAATAGAGCCTGACTGACTACATTGTATATAAAATATACGGAAACTGATATTTAAGATTTTAAGAATCTTACAATTTTAAAACAGCTAACAATGACATATCTACAGATGTTTGTTTGTTTTTTTACATAAAAATATAACATAAACAAAGGGACCTTTAAATTAGTTTTTTCAAAGAATATTGACCAAGATAGCTACTGAGCGGTATATTTTATATTTGACAAATTCATTTGTCAGTGCTTGTCAATGTTTCTAAGATACCACAACCATGTCTTTGGCATTTTGCACCGCAGTTTCTTGTAACTTAGCTAATATACTTAAACTAATATATCTGTAGTAAGCTGATATCAGCCAGTACATTGGCCTGGCTGAATTATGAATTTATCTTGAACACGAAACAATAAGAAAAATACACCCTCCCCCCTCTCCTCTGTGTGAGAAGGTGAGCGACGTCGGCAGGTACACAGAGTACTGGCTGGCATTTTTCAAGGTGAGGCTGCAGGTGACCTCTCACCTGGACGACTGGACTTTGCTGCACTCAGCTGTAATGATCGACCGTTATTCTTCACACATCAGCCTCGTCCTTTCACAAACTGTCCCTGAGATGACGAGAAGGGAGATGAGAGGATGAAGGTTGCAGTAGAAAACAGACGTGTGTGTGTGTGTGTGTGTGTGTGTGTGTGTGTGTGTGTGTGTGTCAGGGTATGGAAGAAGCATATCAATACATTGCTTTAATGAGGTGCCAGCACAAATCTGCATTTTCTTTCTTTCTGCATGCGTAAATAAGACGGGAATAGATATGGCAACAATTCAGTGGTGATGGGAGAACAACGGTGGTCTTAAAGGCGTTTCTTTCATTAGAGTGAACGGCTTAGCCCTGGCAACAATTTTGTGGACATAGCAGCAAATGAGCCTCTTTGATATGCATAGGAAATTTAGTTTCTGTAGCTGATTGCAGAATGTCCGGTCTTTTCTAAAATGAAAGACTCCAAGAGTCTGCACTGAAATTCTAAATGTGTTCATTGTGAAATGTTCACTCCGGCCATGCAGAGGAGAAATTCATTTAGAATTTAAATCGTCAATTTAAAGCTAATTTTGATAACACACTTAACACAGCAGCTCACCTCTAAGTGAGACAAGGTGCCGACGATCCTGAATGGACCAGAATTATAAAGAATCTCTCTTGTTATCATCATCTTAGAATACTCATCCCATGTACAAAATAATCCCCCACTGTCAGACTGAAGGAGCGTGTGGGTTAAACGCGAGTGCATAATCAGTTACTATGGACAATGAGCAACAATTGATATAAAGCAAAAAGGCTGACACAATAACACTCTTTGTTGTCGGCATAAAAGATTAGGGTGTTCACAGGTAATTATGTTCCTCCTCTTTAGTCTTATTTATGCAGTAACAGCATATGATAGTTTAACTATTTGTTTAGGGTTATATGCGTGCTGACATTTTACCTACACGTAATATATAATATAAATATATAATATAAACTCCTTAACTATGTAATCTTTTCTTACATTGACCTGCTCCACTAAATATATGCTTTGACTGAGTTATTTCACAGCCACTACCACACAAAGCAACAAGTAATACAAGCCATACAATTTAGAGGCTCTAATACTTTGCTTATACTACTCAAACACACCAAACTATCTCCCTGCACTACAGAGAGAAGTTTTAAGCTTTTTATTCCACACTGGGATAACAAACCGGCTGAATTCATTGAAAGAATTAATTTTATCCAACAGGATATAAAGGAGTTAGAGTCGTACAAAGTGCAAGCTATTGCATTAAAACACTGCTTACACAATGAAGCATCAATAAATAAGAGTAAGTACATTTTGTATAATACCTCAGGATTACTTTGAATGCAGGACAATTACTGTGTGGTGATCTGAAAACTAAATAATACAAGACTTCACACTATTTTAGGAGCAGAGAAAACAAGTCTGACGTTACACCTTAATATAGGTATAATTGGCAAGCCCGTATTTGCAATCATGATTTATAAAGGCATTAGTAAAAACTTCCACAGCTGATGGGGGGGAGATAAGCAGTGCCGGAAATGGAGGAGTCGACTGAAAGCGGCTGCGGCAGTATTAATTAAACAATGCCCATTTTAATCATAGCTAATTATATTTGCAGGCGAGGGTTGAGAGGAGTGAGGGGGTTGAGGGTGATTCTATCTGTGTCTGTGCTCATTAGTACGGTGAAGCTCTCTGATACAGCTTCTGTCATCAAATAATCAGCAATAAAAATGATCTCTGTCGGAGTTCGGTGATACTGTTAATACTGGGACAGTGAACACCAACACCAACATGGAAACAAAGCTGGTGAGGGATCAACCACGGTCAAATGTGAAAAAAAGTGCATAGAGCTGCTTTCAAGATTAAAACAGATGCCGTGAAACAATAAAGAAGGGAATATAATAGTCTGAAGTAAGATGGGAATTTATTTGAGGAAAAGAGCAGCCTAACCAACTCCCCACTGGTTAAATTGTTAATTAATGTTGCACCCATTTATCAGTCAAACGGCTGCTAATTAGTCTTTTCAATCTCCTCTGCCTTGAACCACAATTTAAACTCTTTTTTTGCCCCCCCCCCCTCCTTCGCCTTGTCAATAAACCAGCCACCGTTCCCTTCCCTCTGTTTCTTTCTCTTACTCGGCTGCCTGTTATCTCTGCTCATCAGTGACCGTTTCCCAGCTATAAACATTCAGGAGCTCAGATGTTGACCCTCGACTCCTGGCTGACCTGGAGGTCACCAGCAAAAAAGTACAGGGGTATTGAAGGGAATACATCATGCGTTTTATCTCTATGAGGGGCAATTTAAAAGGACAAAACTACAGAGAGTCATGCAGTTAAGAATATGAGCACTGGGCCCCAAATACAGGTCAAAATGAACATTAAAGAACAGTGGGTATCTACCTCGTCCTAGCTTGGTGACAGTGAGTGTGTGTGTGTGTGTGTGTGTGTGTGTGTGTGTGTGTGTGTGTGTGAGAGTGTGTGTGTGTGTGTGTGTGTGTGTGTGTGTGTGTGTGTGTGTGAAGCTGAGGTGAGAACACACTCCTAGCTGCAGTCCCACAGCCTCCCTGTATGTTACCTCCTGCCACAATCAGCTACGGCTATAAAAAGCGGATTATGCAATCCGCCCAAACCTCCTCACCTAAGCTCGGAAAGGACTGGGGTGTCTCTCTCTCTCACCACACACACTCACTCACACACACACACTAACACACAAACACACACACACAACAGGATTAGCATGCATGTTAAAAAAAGAAGGGGAAACATGGTATACACAGCATCTTCTAACAAGACGCATTGGCAAATTGATTCAGTGTTTACAATCATATTAAGGCAAAATGCATTTTATTTGTTCAATTAGGTTGAAATGCAAGTAAAGAACAGCTTTCAGCTATAATGTATTTATTAGTGGGTATGGTTTAAAGAAGGATAATATGCAGATAAAGATACAGATTAGATATTAGATATGGATCTGATTAATATGAACACTAGTTTTTAGATCTAAAAAATACAATCCGCTTTCAAAACAATATTGCAACATCAACACACATATGTGCATCATCATGGTCTGTCTGCATGTGAAATTATGACATTAAGGAAAATATTTAGGAGCCTAAAAGATTATTTCCATTTCTGTCTCATGATGAAACAAATGGGACCAGTAATGGACAGAGAAAAAGGTTTTCAATAAAAACGGGAATGGATGGAGAATGAAAGAGGGGGGTGGAGCGAGAAAGAGAAATTGGAGAGACACAGGAGTAAAAAGCGAGAGAGATTTTTTTTTTTTTGTCCCCCGTCTGGTTTCCTATAAGAGGAACGAGAGGAGATAAGACTAAAAGGACTGTCACTCAGAGGAACAATCCTTCCAGTGTCCCCTCTTGCTCGTGCTGCGTCTCCCTCCTCCCTCCAATTTCCACAGATTCCTGCTGAGATAGAGTCGCTGTTCACAGGGACAGTTTGCTGACATCATCCGCTACATACTTAGTGTCCTGCACTCTCACTGCCCCCCCGCACTTCTGTGACAGGCTGGACACACATATTTACAAAACCCTCACAGACACATGGTCATTTCCACCCTGTACAGTTCTCAATGACGAGCTAATTAATAGCACTATCAATCACATACGCTAGGGAAAGTCATTGTCATTTACTACTTCCTTCTTGCTTTTGTATTGTTTACTCTTTGAAACATGGTAAAACTTACACTGAAAGAGAAAGAAGTTCAAACATATGCATCATAAAAGACACGTGGTTACACATAGATACTGTCCATCTCTAAATAGTCCAATATATGATTTAACTTGTTTATTTTTCAGTTCAAATAACTTTAAAATCTGTATCAAAATAACTATAATGTACACAAACACACAAAACAACCATATCTCCCTTTTATGAGTGATGTATTGATCGTTTGCAGGCCACTGTAATACGATTCAGTGGTCCGTTTCAAACTGCATGCTACAGTTAGTTACACTTCTTTTGGATATTAGTTACAGCAGAGATTGTATATGTATAGAATTGATTGTGAACAGTGTGACATCTGGAAAACTCCTTTAAAATGTGCCCATTATGCTGCACCATATGGATGACAGCATAACAAACTAACCAGAGAGAAATGCTGGTTAGACACACGTTCAAGTTTATAGTTCAGTATGTATTTAGCCCGTAGGAATTGCAAATAAAATATGTGGACACAGTAGACCGTTGTACACATGCACATACAAAGTGCAGCTAGCATGGAGAGTGCTTTATATTGTTCATAATTACTGATGAATTCAGCTTGTTCTGTAAATAGAGTTTGGGACACAGCCATTATATCTGTTGCTATTATATCCCTATTGTATACATCAAGGGCAGTACCAATGATCACAGAGAAAATAACAGTCAGAAATAAAGTTTCAGCATTGGTTTGCTTTATTCATCATTCTGAAAAGATCAGGATTCAATTCAATTCAAGCAACCTCTGGAATAACTGCTGTTCTGTGTAAACTGCAGCTCTACAAAACACCACGAAAGTAAAATGAAATGAAAAAGAACAAATATAGAAATATGGACAAATCATTTTGAAATCATACAGATAAGCCTGAAACATAACATGACCGTTATCCCAGCGAGAGAGCCAGGCGCAGACAGTGAACGCAGAGATCTGTTGAAATCTGTGAGTTCAGAGTTCCTGTAACACTAGCCGATGTGTTTGTGCCAATCAGGGCTCAGCTGAATTAGAAACATGCAGAAAAAAGTTGCAAGTCAAAAGAATTGATTCTGACTCACAACAAAGAATAAAGATACTGATTTGTTTTAAGACAACTCAAATGTATCAGGATGGAAGAGCTTGTGATGGAGCAAACTGGATTATCTCCATAAAGGAAGATTTTAAAAGAAAAAGGGTTGTTTCACACGCGTTCGGCATTCCACAATCATTGCATTGTAGCAGACTGTCTCCGTCAGAGGCTGATAGTAGAACAAGATCATACCTCTGATACAGAGGCCAGTATTCCCCTCACCTCCACATGATCTCTGAAACGGCCCTCTGCCTGTCTGAAGCACTGTGACTCCTCGATGTCAGGCTGAAGTGAGTGCAGCAAAGGTCAAGACTGTACCATCTTTTTATGGGGATCAAAGACGAACTGCTTGAAATGCAAGTGGATGCAAACAGGCTGAGAATCTGTTTTGGGCTCCTCTTCATTGGTTGGTCCACCTTTGCTTCCACCCTTCCCTTTCTTCTTAGAGGTGGAGGACAACAACTGCTTGGTTTCAGGGCAAAGACCCTCTGAAGAAAAGATAAACAAGCAGGTCAAGTAAAAAGGTTGATTATCTTAAAAAAAAACAACACAATTATATAAATACATCCCTTCCATGTAATAAATCTAGATTATAACTGTCTTACACCATCTACAGCACTGAGGTCAAATTAGTCATGTAAGTGTAGGTTTATGTAATGCTTGATAGAGATCTTTTCCTCCTGGTTATGTGTGCAGTAGGTCCTGTATCAGTGCTGGAGCCTGTTCACTGTGCTGACCTCGAGATCAACTGATCCTCCTGATGTAACTGATGAAAATGTGCAGCGTAGTTAACCAGTTGCTCCTCCAGATTCTGCGTCTGTGGGACTCATCCCGACGCTCTCCACTGAGCCGTTTTCTGTGAATGCTGAGGTCAAGCGTGCCCTAAAAACATTCCTATCGAACCCCTCGTCTCTCTGTGTGTGGCTGCTTGTTTGCCGTGTTGCACAAGGAAGGTACGAAGTGTTCTGGGTTGACTGCTTTACATAGTGGCTGTCTGACCTCACGTACAACGGCGCCAGCAGTCTTCTTGTTATCGTTATGCCAATGTGAGGGTTGTTGTGGTTACAGCGCAGACAGAAATCTCCTCTTGTTATCTATGATCAGCTGAAAATTTCCATTTACCACTACAGAACACACTCAGTCGCCCCAAAGTTCAACGATTTGTGTTCACATACAAGTGACACATTGGAATTGCACTTTTACAAATTTGTTCTCAAATAAATTTCTAGGTATTTGTGTGAGGAAAATATATTTTAAAAAACATATCCAACATGTACTATAGAACAGAAACACTGTAAACACTCATCAGACAGTAAATATAAGATATGGTCCAAAATAAACACCTAATAAGCACCAAATATGGGTATAAATTAGCTTTGGTGGAAAAATAAAATATGGTGAGTAGCCATGTTATCAGCAAGTTTATTTTGGAGGAGCAGTGTAGCATCATGTTTAAACCACTGTGTTTCCTCTGCTTATACCAGATAAGAGTATGAAGGAGTGATTATCTCACTCTACCCCTTAGTTAATCAACACAAAATTACAAAACACACTCTAATTCTAGCTTCTCAATGTACAGATTTACTGCTTTGAATATTACAGTAAAATTAATATTTTGTTGTCAAACCAAACAAGAAATGTGATGGTATCGCCGTAGGCTTTAGGAAACCACACAATTTTAATTGAACAATAGAGAAAATAGTCAGCAGATTAACACGTTATGAAAATAATCGTTAGTTGCAGCCCAAAGAATAATGAAAGTATGAGTCGTAGGTATGAACGACAGAAAAGCAAGTGAAGTCTGCCTGAAAGCAGACATTCTTACACATTTTCATTCCTTCTCTTCATCTTATGTACGTCTCCTTGAGAAACTAAATTAAAGACAAAGTCTGTGGAGCAACAGGCAGTGAGCGGAAACTCACGAAACTGATATTCAACCGCATTCAGACATATGACCGTATCAATAATTTGACCTACCTCTTATCAGCAGAATAGTGCCATTTTTGCTCTAATGTCAGGGGAGGCTGTTAGATGAAAACAACTGGATGTTTATATTATGTCCATGCGTGAAGACGTGAGCGTTAGTATGTCTGAGACTTTTGAGTATGTTAGGCAATAAAGAGGATGTAGGTGAGGTTCTCTTTCTAAATGATTTTGTTTTCTCTTCCCTTCCCGGTGTGGAGCAGCGGGTTCGGAGTAAGAAAAGGTAAAATAAACACAGAACAGACTTCCCCCGGAACACAGGCAATCCCCAGAGGAATCCTGGGAATGCGGCTCAGGATGTCGGGCCTACCACTCTTACCGCATCCTGAAAACGGTTCGCAGAGCCCCAATGTCCCGGGAAATAGAGAGAAAGTGCTCTGGGTGGGTGTATTGGTGAAGGGGGAGACGTGTCTGTGCGACCTTATAATAAAAAGCCACAGAGAGTTTGATACGCGTGACACGGCCTCCATTAAACAGCATCAGTAGTTTTAGTACTGGAGCGACAGAGGAGAAGAAACGACAACGTCTCACCTCGGGTGAACCTTACCTTGTAATCGGATCTTGAACTTGCCGCTCTGTCCAAACCCACCCTCCACAATGCCAGTCTCGCCTGTCGACAGTGTGACCTTCAACCCCAGAAAGAGCTGCAGGCTGGTCTCCTTCTTGAACATGTTGCGGCCAATCACAGTGTAATCGTCAGTCACCTGAGCACAAGAGAGCGGGAAAGAAAAGAGCCTTATGAGCTGCAGCACTTGTGAAAGATGACATGAAAGCACAAAAAGTGACACGCATAATGAAGTACTTTTTAAACATGCGATCTATTTATGAATGTGAGAATGTCAGGATGTATTTTAGGAGCTGAGTCTCATTTTTACTTCCTCTGATGTCTCGATCTTGAGGGATGTCATGATTTCACTCATTACAGCAGAGTGAGGAAGAACAGCTGATCCTCTGCACTGTGCCCTCACTAACTGTACCACATGCCATAGGCCACATTCTCCGAGGCCTGCCGCCATGCTGTCTCCCTCCTTCTTTTTCATCCTGCACATTTTATGCTATATTTGTTTGTATTTCTTATCCTCCATCACTAAGTCGATCTAACCCGGCACTAATCTGATAACATGAGGGCACCGCTCTGTCTCAAACTCACCCCCCCCCCCCCCCCCTACTACCAGTTCTTCCTCTCTCTTCTGCCTCGCTCTCATTCATTCTTGAACATTTGACCCAGACATCCCTCAAGCGTGACTGATGCGATGATTAAAAAAAAAAAAACAGTCGCTTCACACGTCTGACAGACGCGTGAATTGTGACTGGATGAGACCGTCATATCTCGACAATGCCAGTAATGTGTTCTTTTACAAAAAGCAATTTTTAAGTCTTGAAACATAACTGCCTCTTTCTGTGAGACAAATGAAAGACAAAAGTAATGTCACATGACCACAGTCTAACCTCTCGCACACGCTGTTCTGCTCCTGAGTCACTGACTGGAGCTGTCGACACCCTGAGGTGCTAACAGCAGGCAACTAGTTCACACACTTGACCCCTGACTTGAGGCTGAACCTGACAACACAGAAAAACTTAACTGTACAGTGCAGAATGAGAGTCACAACATCTTCAGTGCGCCCACAGATGAAAATACTGAATGTAAAAAGTTGGAGGGTGTTGACTTTTTGAAAAATTCCCAAATCAGACGTTGAGATCAATAACAAAAAAAAAAAATAGCATCAGATAAGATGAGATAGGGATCAGTATGAACTGGAGCTCAGGATTTAGGACAGAACATAACAGCTGAACCAGAGACAAGTGGAGGTTAACTCACACAGTCATGTGGGTATTCCTGTGCAGCTCAGGTGTGTCCAAACAGTGGCAGCCTCTGACAGCTAGACAGAGCTAGTGGCGTCAGTCGGCCACCCACGCACACCTCTGTGTCACAGCACATGCTAAGGCATGCATACCCATCCGTGCCTCAAACACTGATCACCAGGGCTGAATGTGCATGCTTGTTTGTGTGTGTGTGTGTGTGTGTGCGCGTGTTTATGACTGCACAATAAGGGCTCTGTCTAAGAGGCACGGTCCACTGCCACCAGCAATGAGAAACATCCAAAGAAGAACCACAGCCAGAAGGAGCACAAGGTGACAGAGAGGGCAGAGGAGCAAGGGTAACACTCAAGGGTAAGCAGAGAAGACGACAGTCAGAAAGAGAGCATTTAAAATACACTGCTGAGTGTCCCACTCACCCTTTCCACCTGACCCTCCTTGTGTTTGGTCTTGTAGATGCGCAGGCGAGGCAGGCCAGTCTCAGCGTAGCCTTTATCTTCAAACCCCTGGAGCAGACGGCCCTGGAAAGCCAACCGGCATGCATTGGCGTGGATGTCTGTGTCCAGCTTGGAACCAATCACCAGGCAGAGTGAGGGGCATGTGACTGGCCGCTCAAACTCCAACAAGGCCCATTGTTCTGGCTCAGGTCCTAGACTCGCCTCTCCCTGACCGGTGACATATTCATCCTGGTAGACGTACTCTCTCTCGAAGGTGAAGGGTGAATCCAGTGAGCGGGGCTGAGGTGGAGGTGGTTGAGTGTCTGAGGGAGGCTCTGAGTGATCCACAGGTGGCAGGCCAAAGAACATAACCCTCGCCATGACGGTCTCATGGCCCACTGTGATGTGGAACTTGGCACGGGTGGCAAGAGAGCCCTTGAAGTAGCCTATCTTCCTCACAGAGATGACTGCTGCATAGAGGGTGCGCAGGGACCCTGGGGTGCACACCACACCCCGCTCTAGCAGTTTAGGGTCAAACTGTGTCACGCACACACCCACACGATCCCCCTGCATGGCCCCCGACACTGGCTTCCGAAACATCTGCACCGACTTTATCTTCTTGGTCACCTGATGTCAGAGAGCACAGAGATACAATAAAAAACGAATTTCTAACATCAATTCAATACTTAACTAAAACATCATTGTAACATATTTGGAACACGACAAGAAAGTACATAAATCCACAGTATGTTACATTATTGCTGATAAAAGTTCATAGCTCACAGTGCTACAGTCATGCATGTGTTTGTTTGTTTGTTGTTGTTGTTGTTTTACCATTCGTACCAATACTTCTTCTGGTTCCACTTTAGTTTTATATTTTAAACCTAGAAACTATACAAACAGTACAGCCTAAGATTAATAGAGACAAAACATCAGTTATTATTATCTTCACAGTACAGACATGTTTTACAATAACTTTAAGGCAAAGGTCTCATAGAGGACTTAAGTGGGTTTTTTGTCAATAAAATGTGTACATAAGTAAGTACACACAGCTCATTAAATATGCACTGTTGTTGCACAACTTGCAGCTGTGCATCATATTTGAAATATTCATTTTTCAAATATTTATATTGATTTATAATTTTATTTCAAAAATATCAGGTTTTGATAAAAATAGAATTGTGCCTTCTTTTGTTTGAACTATACATCTCCAAACACAAATACGAAAACGGAAACGAACATTTAAAAGATATCTGTCTGACTACCTGTCCATCTTACATCTTTGATTGTGGGATCTGGCGTACCACAATGTTTATGTGCTTGTTTGTGTTGTCTATTATACAATTACCAAATCAACAGTAGTGGCACAGATCAAGGATCCATAACAAATTACTGTTAATTTAGCCATTTGCTGCCACCAAGAGGTGGACATTAAAACTGCATAGAAAACTGCTGAGCCTGGCTGAAAGTGTGCATCTGGTCTAAATTACCCACCGCTGCACTGCCAGTCCACCCAGAGTCCCCTCACATCAAACTGACACACGGACATCCTTCCCTCTATCTGCCCACTTCCAGTCAACTTCTGAACTTTCGAATCTCTGTGGTTTCTACAAAAGAATTCCCAGCACTCTGGTATGTTACCTGCCTGTAAATATCAGAGATTCTGAATTCATGCATTTTTTTGGAGCATACCTTTAGTGCCGGGATTTCCACAGTGTCATTGATGGCCAGCGACCCCTGCAGGATGGTTCCAGTCATGACTGTTCCCTGACCACGGATGGAGAAGCAATGGTCCACAGCCATCAGGAGGTCGCCTCCAGGCTCTCTCTGAGGGAGGTATGTCTCCTTCTTCAAAAGCTGACACAGGCAACCAAAATGGCAAGAAGAAAGACACGTTTATTTATATACACAAAAGAGAACTGCAAGGTCCCACATACACAAAAATGAAACCAGATAAAGGAGAGAGAGGGAGACACGTATTAGATCCATATCTAGCTGTGATTCCAAAAACTGCATAACACACACTCTCTCTGGTGGTAGAAGTGCTGCTCTGATCCTGATGTGTGAGTCATACTGCTGTTTTTTGAATTAAGAATATAACCTTTTTAAAATGCAGTACAGATAATACAAAGATTGCGTTTACGGTTATTTAAGACACAGTTTATCCACTACATAGTTTTTCCATCAGAAAGTACTGACAAGTTTATTTCTCAATGAAAAATGTCCAGCTCAGTACAGTACATATCTTGATGAATTCAAACAAATTTGAGATATACTTAGCAAAAATATTGGTTGATGTTATGTGCTTGAAACAAAAAGTATTATCCGTTGTTGTCATCTTTCTTTAATATCTAATTAAGTACGCTTCAAAATCTAGTATTGCGTTTGACCCAGTAGGTACTACTTGGCTTCCTACTTGCCACAGCGGCGGGGTTTGAGTCCAGATGATCAAGATATATACTGCACTGCATGTCATCCCCTCTCTGCCCCGCCCTGTGTCTCTCTCACTATAAAATAAAGCATTAATGCCTAAAGAAATGTGGTACTGGTCAGGCAAAAGACAAGCGTTGTCAACAATAAACATGTTGGTATTTCTTAAACTAATGCTTCTCCTTGATCATTTGAATCATTACCAATAAGATAAGTAATATACAGCAATTAACAGTTTGCTAGTAACCACCGCCATTTTGTACACAGTGCTGTACTCTACCAACTATATACTCTGTTGACTGGACGAAGACAGTCTGCTGTTGTTCGTGTTAGTCGTGTGGTAAATAAACACAGCTCAGGACTTGCTTTACTCATTTACCACCACTTGAACAATGACAGCTGACTGACATCACTTGTTCATAAGTGAGAACGTATGTGCTCTTTTGAGCTACATTAGTAACAATGGAGGGGAACCAGAGTGTTTCCGGACTTTACCTCTATTAACTCTGGCACTCCATGTGGCTCCTCTGTGTCAGGAGCCTCCGGGCCCCCGGGCTTCGCTGCCACAGCAATCACTGGACATTCCTTAAATCTGGCCAACAGAAAAACATAATATTGAAATTACTTCATGCTTTGATGTTGAAGTAATGATTAAAGTTACTTTGAATGAAAAACAAGTGGGTCTGACGGACAGACCGCTGGAATGCAGAGAGGGAGACAGAATGTGTAATGAATGGGGGAATTTTGGCAAGAGATTCAATCCTGGGCCCCTGGGAGTACATGGGATGCCCAAACCCACTTAGCTGTCTGGGCCTTCATTTCCACAATATCCAAATTTATTCTGATACTTGTAATGAATTCAGACCTGGTGCTCTCCAGAGTTTTGTGCAGTCTCTTGGTCATTTTCTCAATGGCACTCTGTCTTTTGTTGGGTGGCAGTAGGTCAACTTTGTTCAGGATGACCACCATGCGAGGGCAGGTCAGCTCTCCTATCAGCAGACACTCTGCAGTCTGAGTCTGCACCCCTTTCACCACATCCACCACCAGCATCATCAGGTCAATAATTTGGGCACCTAGAGAGTGGGATAAAAAAGAAAACAATAATCAAGATGAATCAGAACTGTGAGTAGAGACTAACCCAACAGCACACAACCAGGAACGGACACAGATTCCCAAAAATAACAGTGAAACAAGAAGAGAACTTATGGGTGGGGTGCACAAAGGCAAAAGAGAGCGTAAACAGCTAGAGGGTTGAAACCAGAGCTGCAGCTCACTTGGTTGTCTTTCCTTTCCCTCTTTTCTTTTCCTGACTTTGGCAGTCTCTCCTTCCTGTGTTCCCCTCTTTTCTCTCCTTCTATTTGGCTCCTTCTCTTTCCTGTGCTTTCCCCACTTGGGACAGGAGGGGAGGTTTAATACATACCCCAAACCCCACACTTTCCTTCCTCCCTAATCTACAGCATGTGACACCCCACTGGCTCATAGGTTTCATTCAGTACTTTGGTAACACAACACAGCAGCATTCAGTGTTTGAGTGCCTCGACTCTGCTATCATACCAAGGCCAATACTTCTACCAGAATCTGTGGATTTCATTTAAGTTTAAAACAGTCTGATCAATCGAGTCAATTAGGGCTGCAACTAATGATTATATTCATTGTCCATTAATCCATTATTTTTCAATTAAATGATGAAATGACATCAACATTGAGCAGTGTCCTCAAATGCCTTGTTTTGTCCACAACTCAAAAATATTCAGTTTACTGTCATAGAGAAGTAAATAATCTAGGAAATATTCACATTTAACAACCTGGAAGCACATCAGTTAAAACCAATTAACTGATTATCAAAATAATTAATGTAATAGTTGACAACTGATTAATCTTTGCAGCTCTTAGTTAATATGACACGATCAACCTTTCTGCTTGTAGAGGAAAAGCGCCCTCTGCTGGATCCTTTTGAGTGTTTTCTAAGTAAACTATTCTGTTAACTTAGTTTGCACAGAATGGAAACACTTAAGGTATATAAGGGTAGTTTTTCTTAAAACCTTCAGATTAAAAGTCATATGCTAAAGTGACTGTTCTGCTGCTTTGGCAGTTTGTATGTGTTTCACATTTAGATAATGTGTGTCTGTAAATAAGTTAAAAAAACTACATGCACTTTGGTTTCAGTGTACTGGTATTGTGCATGCTGTTAAAGTTATACACCTGTGTTTTCTTTTGTGTGACAAGTCAGAATGTCTACTGTGAAAAAGGCCAATTTAAGAGGCATGCTTATTATATTAAGTTGTAGATATTCAGTACATTCAGCTAGCAGTTTATTAATGGCACCTCGCTTTAACTAATGCAGTCAAACGTAACAGCCCTGCAATAAACCCTAGCTTCATGGAGGTTACAAATACATTGTTTCATTCGCAGCCTGCCATCAGTGACATTAAGCACCAACACTTGCAGAGAGTTAGGAGAGCTCACCCCCAATGATAGTGCGAATAAGAGAGGCGTGACCCGGACAGTCCACCAGGGTGAACTGCAGGCTGCCGTACTGCTGCTGGCCTCCGCTGTCCCGCAGGTGATCAGGAAGGTCCACCGTGAAGGAGGAGAAGCCGAGGTCCAGCGTGATGCCTCTCTCGCGGGACTGCGGGTTCTTGTCGAAAGCAGCCGTGGAGGCGGTGCTGCTCAGCGCCCTGGAGAGCGACGTCTTCCCGCTGTCGACATGTCCGAGCACCCCGATGTTGAAATTTAACGTATTGGTGCAACTGTCAGCAGACTCTGACATTTTGACACCAGTTTGCTGTATTGGTAAACAACAACGTGCGTGTTTTCTATACTCAAGAGTTGGACGTTGAACTCGGCTCCAACGGAAACGTTAAAACGGCAGTATTCGCTGTCCTTGTGACTAATACCGAAACACCTTAAAAAACAAGTTGTTTTTAATTCGTTTGCGGCTTTCAAAACACAGATGGCTAAAAGTAGGACTTCAAAGTTACTTCAGCAGTTGAGAGAAACGTCTTCCTCGCTGTCAGTGCACTCCTCGGGACAACATGCTAAAGCGGAACGTTTGTACAGTGACAAACAAAAGTAAAAAGAGGAGAACTGACATGACATAATGGCTGTTTGATTAAAACTTAACGTTAACTATAAAATTTCGATGGGGAGATGAGAACCTGTATCGGTTTAGTTCTACATTTATTTATAGTCTCTTATTTACACTTTGACCAGTTTGTTTGCTGTTTCCACTACGACAAAAAACACGGAAACACAAACGGAAATGAAAACTGTCCTGGGCGGGGCTTTTGTGGGGGGAAATGATTGACATAGACTTCACCCAATGAATGTGCTGCATCAGGCGACAGGATCCAATAGGAGTAGTTATAGGAACGGTCCTTCGAGGTATCACTTCCGCTGATTTTCCCTAGTAACCCACATGGAAACCGATTTCCCTGTGTTTTGAGTTTCGGCGCCGATTCTGGCGGGTGAAAAATTAACGGAGGCACAGGAGGTATTTTCTCCATCGTAAACCTGACTTACAATATTTTACATCACATATTTATAAAGTAACAGTAACTATGAAGATCGAAGAGGTGAAAAGCACCACGAAGACTCAGCGGATCGCCACTCACAGTCACGTTAAAGGACTCGGGCTAGACGAGGCCGGGAATGCTAAACAGTCAGCATGTGGTCTGGTCGGCCAGGAGGCTGCTAGAGAGGTACTGTCCCTGTTTCACTGCACCCGACGTTGTTCGTGTATTGTTTGGAGGAGTGAAAGAGAGCTGACGATTTATTTTGCAGGGAGGATTTCGCTCACTGCAGGCGGTCAGGTGCACACACAAGCTAGTTCCGTTAGCACTGTAGTGTCGCTGTTGTGTGTCTGTCTCTCTCTCTCTCTCTCTCTCTCTCTCTCTCTCTCTCTCTCTCTCTCAGGTTAGAGGTGAGCTAAAGGGGAGGTCCACCATAAGTAGAACTCACGTTTATTCATATTACATGTATTAAAATGTATTATGCTAAACGTTTGCTTTGTAAAGTTTTATAAAGAAAAGGTGTATTAATGAATGTAGAAACAAAGGATCTGCTTTATAGACAAACACTAATAGTGTGTTCACAATTTAACATTCCAACTGTGGATTTTTAGTTAAGTAGATGACCTGTTTTCATATCGATTAAATCAAGATATAAAGATGGAATTTCAAACTAAAATGACGTGTATACACTCCGTCACCAATTAAGTGACAAAAGACCAGCTTCAATATTTGTCAACAGGTATAGACATCTATCGCCACGATGCTCTGACTGCTTGTAGGTATACATTACTGTCTACAATGTAGTAACACCGATTAACAGTCAGGGGTTAACTTACACAATGGGGACAGTGCAGATACTAAGGGATATATTAACTAAAATCCATCACACCTGCTTTGATGTAAATTCTGACAACATCCCACAGCCCGCTGCTTGTATTGTTACTATTGTTTGTCAATATACACACTACTGTTGCTTTATATTATCTTCTCTTTCCAGGCTTGTGGCATCATTGTCGACCTGATCCGTTCAAAGAAGATGGCAGGAAGGGCAGTGTTACTGGCAGGACCACCTGGAACAGGAAAGGTAAGTGTGCAGTGTTCATTCACTAGCAACACAGCAGTAAAGCTTCATTGAATGTGGCCTCTGTTGTTGTTGTTGCTGCAGATTGTGACTCTTTTCTACTTTTTCCTCCAGACTGCTCTTGCCTTGGCTGTTGCACAGGAGTTGGGAAACAAGGTGCCTTTCTGCCCCATGGTTGGCAGTGAGGTCTACTCATCTGAGATTAAAAAAACAGAAGTGCTGATGGAGAATTTCAGGAGGGCCATTGGTGAGTGTCACGTAAATATGATTTGGCTCTTTGGCCATAGTTCTTACCTGCAAAACCAGTCACTGTAACCGACGTTGTTGTTTTTGATAGGATCTGATCTTTGGTCTGAGTTGGGAGTTGTAAAACTATCATGATTGGTTTCAAACAGGTGTCATTTTTAAATACAGGCAAACGGTTTAACAGAAGAAAGCAAATAATTAATAGAGGAAAATGCAGATTAAAAAAAACAGACAAAGTCATATAATCATCAGACTTTCTACTGAGACTGAGAATTATCCTAACTAAACATATTGTTTCTGGAAAAACATGAAACCAACCCAATTCACTTCCATTGCATGAGGTCAGGGCAGTATACGTGCTGTTTCAAAGCTTCAGCTCATAAAACTGAAATTGTCTGGATGACCTGATACCTCGCTGGCTAAAAGAAAAAAACTATATATATTTGTATATTTGTTCCTCTACTTTCTTTCATCTCTTGGTGTTAAAGGACATTATATGATCAACTCACTCCCTCAGTGAGGAGTCCTTGGGCAGGAAGAGCAAGGTGTCCCGCAAACACCGTTCTCATGAGCTGAAAGGCGACACTTGACAGCGGATTTATGAGAATGGTGTTGAGAAGGAAAGAAAGCTTGAGAGGGGGAAGGGGTTTGTCAGACTGCTGAAGGCACCTGTCAGGACAGGAAATAGAGCTGAGGGAGAGGTGGTCATCAGCACCTTTGCTCCTCCCCTAGAACAGGATCTTCAGGGGGAAGGGGGTTTCATTTTGAAATTGTCATCACTCTGGCGATAAGAGTGGCCTGACAGACGGTCCCTGCCGTAAGCATTGCTGTCTGACCCTCAGCACGGCGGATCAGCCACCTGTGCGCTGCTCATACTCTGTGCCACCGGCTGCATGAAAGAGGAACAAGAGTGTGATCACGTTACACAAGATTATGCCCAGACCTTTCATGGGCATGCACACGCGTGTTCCCTCTCTGTAATAAAATGCGTTGTTCAGTAGACTGAAGGATGCGGCGGCTTAGTTGATACAGGAATATAAAGGCCCAATTGAGTTCTCACTCTGCACTGTGCGTATGACTGTAATGTTGCCCACATTCAGGACTGCGTATCAAAGAAACAAAGGAGGTGTATGAAGGGGAGGTGACAGAGCTGACCCCCTGTGAGACTGAGAATCCCATGGGTGGCTACGGAAAAACCATCAGCCACGTCATCATCGGCCTGAAGACGGGCAAAGGCACAAAGCAGCTCAAGGTCAGACTCGGAGCTGTAATCTTTGTTTTTTTGTTTCTTATATTAAAACTGAATTCATGTGAACTTTGTCGAGTTAAAAAAATACATATTTGCAAAAATATTGATATGGTTCTCTTTAAACCTAGCAAGGATGTGTATCTTGATTGTGTCTGGATTAGATTTTCCTTGCATCTCTTTCCCTTCCAAAACTCTTACCTGAACATGGATAATAAAACGCCTTCCTTCTTCCTCAATATCAGTATTTTGACAAACTATTTTTGTCACAAACAATCCACCTTACTTTCACCGACCAATTGGTAAGAACCAATGTCTTACTTGAAAATCTCTTGTCTTGTTTCCTCAGCTGGACCCCAGTATTTATGAGAGTCTTCAGAAAGAGCGTGTGGAAGTGGGAGATGTCATCTACATTGAAGCCAACAGTGGAGCCGTCAAGGTATTTGTGTTACTCCCTCACAACTGCCACGCATTTTGATCAGCCAATCTGAGTAGAAAAAGATGGACATACTAGGCTTTAATTCACCAAATTGTTTAGTTCACAAATGACACATTTCAAATAAGTAAAAACCGAAAGGAGTATTTGGTGAAACCAAAGTTCAGTGTTTTCTGTCTTGCATGTCCTTGTCAGTCCTTCATGGTGGCGTTCTTTCAGCTCTGCATCAAATCTTTGCTGCATTTCTGCTGTACTCTGGAATTAGCCTCTCTCATTCCTGCAGCTTCGTGCTCTCTCTATCGCTCCATCTCCCACAATGCCTCTTTTCTAGCAGCAGGGCTTGTGGCTTGTGTTGACAGACCCCAATGACGGTTCCTTTAATCGGTGCAGGTGGGCTGGGGGCGCGGGCCGGCTCAAGTCAGAGGCCAACGGAGGGGGGCTGGACAACACATTTGTTACTGTTGACAGCTGTGTCATGACCTGCCTTCTGAAACTCTTTCATCCCTCAGCTGCATGCCCTCCTCTCTAGGATGGCCTGGCACTGGGTTCAATTATACACCTGCTCTCCCTCCGCTGTTTTTTGTTTCACTGTTGTCCAGAGCAATGTGTGAAATTCCTTTTTGTTTAACAGTGGGTCAGTTTTTTTAATTCTTGTTAACACTTTTTGGTATACGGTGTCTTTGCAGAGACAAGGTCGCTGTGACACTTTTGCTACAGAGTTCGACCTGGAGGCAGAGGAGTATGTGCCACTGCCTAAAGGTGATGTCCACAAAAAGAAGGAGATAGTCCAAGATGTCACACTGCATGACCTGGATATTGCAAATGCCAGACCCCAGGTATCTAACTGCGAAAGTAATATAATATCAGTGCAGCTGGTTTCTTCTTAGAAACTAGATAACCAGTTTGCAGAGTTGTCCCCGGTATGTTTAAAATAATTACTCACTGTTTGATCTCAGGGGGGCCAGGACATTCTCTCCATGATGGGACAACTGATGAAGCCCAAAAAGACTGAAATCACAGGTGAAAAGAAATCGGACAAAGTCTCAGCTCACATTACCAGCTGGCTTCAACACTTTTTAACCGTTTTCATATTTATCCATCCCTGTTTTCTTTCGTGTTTTAGATAAACTGCGTAATGAGATTAACAAGGTGGTGAACCGCTACATTGACCAAGGTGTAGCGGAGCTCGTACCTGGAGTGCTGTTTGTGGACGAGGTGCACATGCTGGACATCGAATGCTTCACATACCTCCATCGAGCACTCGAGAGCACCATCGCCCCCATCGTTGTGTTCGCCTCTAACAGGGGAAACTGTTTGATTAGGTAGGAGGTATACAAGAAATGGGGGAAATTCAACAAAAAAAATATCGTTTTTAGATTTGTAGTATTAACAATTATTTGTTGCTCACCAGGGGGACAGAAGACATCAGCTCTCCACACGGGATTCCTCTGGACTTGCTGGACAGAGTCATGATAATCCGCACCATGTTGTACACGGCCCAGGAGACGAAGCAGGTGAGTCTCAGCATCAAAGTATCTGCATGTGTGCTGTGTGCCATCTGAGCGTGTGTCACTTATGATGTTGTGGTTTGTAGATCATCAAGATCCGTGCTCAGACTGAAGGGATCAATATTAGCGAGGAAGCTCTTTCACACCTGGCAGAGATCGGCACCAAGACCACCCTCAGGTCAGAATATACATCGTGCATCACTGAACGGAGTGAAGAACTGAGCAGCCTTACATTGAGTCCACAATGGTCCAGTTTTTGGAGCAACTATTATCAGTAAAAAATAAGTGCTTCTTTGACAAAAAATAATTATTTATCTAAAGTGTATATAAACACATTTAGGACCTGCTGCAACTCCTCCTCACCTTCCTCTTTATAGTAAACTGGCTTATACTGTATATGTATATGCGTGAGTATACTGAGTGGCTCTTTGTTCCCGTTTCCTCTCAGGTACGCTAATCAGCTACTGACACCAGCCAGCCTGCTGGGTCGTGTTCAGGGAAAAGAGAACGTGGAGAGGGAGCAGATAGAGGAAATCAATGAGCTTTTCTACGACGCAAAGTCCTCCGCCAAAATCCTCCAAGATCAACAGCACAAGTTTATGAAATAAAACTGGATTTACACCTTTTCTTTCACAACTCGCAGGGGCTGTTACATGGTTCACTTTGATTCTCCATCCTTTCTATGTGACTTTTTCCTTTGTTTTTCCATATTTACCCTCTACACCATGGCTCATTCTAGTGTCCCAGCCTCATCTACTGTAGTAGTTTTGTTCTATAAAGTTTTATCTGTTCCCTTTGTTGATGAAAGTCATTTTTTGAATAAAAAGCAAAACACAAATGACTCAGTTTTCTTAAACATTTACTTTTTTATTGGCACTTCTTACAATGAAACAGGATGGACGAGACAAAAGATTTCAACTTAATTTTCTTACAATTGTTTTGATTGCAGTATTGCTCTTTCCTTAAAATTACCCTTAACCTGAAACTGGATAAATGCTGCTGTTACAGAGGTGTTCCAATGGTTAAACATTTCTCTAAATTTTCTTTTTAAAATGAAAAACTGGCTTGCCAGTGTATACAAGTGCTGTTTAATGAAGAACACCTAATTGAAATAAAAAAGCTAAATTTTCATGGACTGAAGTGCAGCTGGAAAATAACTGATCCCGAACCCATAAGGTGAAGCAAGTGTTGTCCAATCATGGTCAGGAAGTCCACTGCTACTTCCTGATAGGTCGAGCTGACTTCAAAACAGTCTCCGCTCCCGACCTCACTCCGCTGAACACGGAGGGAGCTGCTTTACCAATTTTCTCTGTGAAGAAAGAGAAACAATCCGAATATTTCACTATTAATGAGGCAGTAAGAATGGTTATGTCAAATTGTGGATATGCTCTGTGTAAATAAATACACTTTATCCCACTGGGTGAGAGGGAAGACTGTTGATGGTTATCTCCCATCAGTACGACCCTCCTTTCCTCACTGTATATGGAGTGGAAACTTGAGAATCATGAGGAAACGCCCCCTCACACAAAACTCACTGCCATAACATGATCTTATGCAGAAAAGCAAAGACTGCTTCCTGTCAGTGTCATCTGTAAGATAAATGTCAAATTCTATTTCCATGTCGTTTTATGTGTGTGTGTCCTCACCACACTCCTCCAGTACTTCAAATGTCTTGCTCTTCGCTGGCCCACTTGTACCCAGTTTGGTCTTTGCTTCGGTCAGGTCCTCATCTTTCACCTCGGGGCGCTGCGTTTGTTCATCTTCTTCCTGACCTGGCTGAGGGGCGGTGAACAGAAGCAAGTACGACAGCACACATGTGATTTCTGGCTCTCCAAGTCTGCAGAAAGTCTTTTTTTAAACAATGTGAAAAGATGTCATCTCATTTTAAAACAATGGTCTTACTTGAGACATGTTTGAGCAGTTGAAGCTGGCCATAAGAAAATCTCCTCTCTGTCAGATGTGCCTCTTGTTCTCTTGTGAGTCCAGCCTAACACACATTGTTCTCCAGTCGATAATAAATCTGTTCTTGAGAGTAATAAATGACGCAGCGAGCGTATACGCTCCTCCTCTTTTCTGTCTCTCTGCCTCTGTTTTATTTTCATGGTCTGCTGTCAGACTTGCTGCTTCATTAGGATGTCACTGCTACAACTTGTGGCTTTACATTTTACCAAATAAATCCCAGAGATCCAAGAATGTAACAAATGTATGTCTGTGTATCCTCCACCGGGTAATAAGCAAGCCACGCAAATTGGACTCAAAGTTCAAAAGGTATGAGTCAAAAGATAAGTAGCTGGCTGTCTTAAGACATCAACACACTTCATACCATGCCTGGCTTGTGTACAAATACAAAATACATGTAACAAAAAAAGCAGCAGAGAGGAGATGGGATTATTGCCATCCTTTAAAAGAATGCTGTTCCCTTCCTGCTCATTTTCCATGACATCATTATTCCACCCCAGGGATCCTAAATTCTTTAGCGATAAGTACAGAGGAAGGACAAACAAATAAGAAGAGTTTCCAAACATGTTAAATGGCTGCTCAACTCAAGCCTACTTAGCTCCGCTAAAGTTAAATATGATACAAAGCTGGTGCAAACATGTTTGTAAACGCACGCTCTAGATTATACTATATATTTATAGCAATGAAAATGTCACGAAACATGTTTAAACATAAAAAAATATATTTAATGAACTTCGAGTTGAGATGCTTTGTTCGTGGTGTATGAAACAGAATTCCTCCCTGCTTCTTAACCGCTTAACAAAGACTATGTGAACAGAATAATGGACTTCACATTTTACGAGATGACTGAATAGTTAGTTAAAATAAACTTAGAACAGCTGGAATCTTCCTAGTAAAGCAAACCTGAAAATGGGAGTTTTGGTGATTTTTGGACAAACACGACAGATCCTTTGGGCTGCTTCAAGTTTATAAATTTATATTTTTATCTCTTCCGGTAACAAATTCAACTGCTTTCTTAAAATACATTCAATTTTTTAAGCGGCCACAATCAGATTCCAAAACAGTCAGGACACGTTTGTTTATACTTGTATGAGCCAACACAGGAATGATCAGAGGAAAACATATCAGCATCATACACCCACACATTCACACATACACACACACACACACGTGTGAGGTCAATTTAAAAAAAGTTGTTCCCTCGTTGCTTTCACACTGTCAGTAACTGTCACTGAGCAGCTCTTGTTAGAACTGTTTGTAGTGAAACAAAAGCTTTCTTCCAGGCCAGTAAACCCATTTCCAGTCCAGTTTAAGTGCGTTTCTTTCTGTATTGAGGCAACAGCTGAGTCCTCACAAACTGAACAAGCCGAGTCTCTGTGACAAGAACAGCCACAAACACACCGAGCAGACACAATGCTCCTACGCCGATATGGACCAGCCTTAGAAACCAGCCGCTGTCACAGCAGAATACACCCTGCAACCAGAGAAAAAAGAGGCTCAAGTTAGGGCCACTGATTTGCACAAGATTGAATAAAAATCCTATGTAATGGTTGATATTTAGACATAAAACCTGAGTGGAGAATGAATAATACTTTATTTTCTTGTACCTCGGACAGCGCTGTGATGACGGCACTGACAGCAAGTGCCAGTATTAGGAGCGGGGAGGGCAACAGGCCTCGCAGAGGTTTCCATTGAGTGGTACGGAAGTAGTGGTGTATGTAAAGCAGGCTGTGCACGATGCGGAGGCCCATGTTAAGGCAGTTTGCCAATATGAAGCCCACACTGCCAGCCCACCATGTCAGCATGTAGGACAGGAACAGGAAAGACACAGACAGAGCCAGCATCACAAAGTTATACCTGAGGACGAAGCACAAACAGTGTTGACTGACAGGTTGCATGATGCGTTACTGGCTGTGTATGCGTGTATTTCTACATTACTTACTTGTCAACTTCTTTTTGGCTCATGGCAGCAAACACAAAGCACTCTGTTACACCGTTTACAGCGAGCAGGAGAACATAGCAGCTGTAGCATCGCAGCAAAGTGGGCCCTTCAACCAAAAAACACAAACACAGAGCAATGACTAAGAACAGCAAGCAAAGCTAGATTTGTCACATATATCCAATAAAACCAGTGTGTTGGGGCTCTGTTACCTGCACCACTGCTAAGCAGAGAGCCGCCGTAAATATCCAGAGCCAAGAGAGCGTAGGCGTAACCAAACACAGAGATAATCAGACCGACCACCAGCACCAGCTTCAGCAGACACTCCAGGACCTCCGCTGCAATGGCAACGTCCTCCTGGAAACAAAACCCGCAACATGACGTGAACCCAACAATTCAATTCATTTCACAAAGTTTATATCCGAGACTCACACCTGTTTCTGACTTTTGACATCACGTCCTCGCTGCAGCACTTTGGCAAAGAAGATGTAGAAGCTTTCCTCGATCGGCAGGAAGATGAAGCGAGCCACCATGGAGCCCAGATTGTTGACAATATCGTAAACTCCCTGGTCTCCAAAGCTGAGGACGTTCAAGAAGGTCATGACGTACCGCTCGCCCTCTGTCAGGATCTGCTTCAGGAAGGACTGCTTGAAGAAGCTCCATGTGAGCTGGGCCAGACTCCAATCAACCAGCGGCTACAAGCAGAGCAATATATAACGATCATTAATCCCATATGGTAACGGCTTATCTTGTAACTTGTCAGATTGATTTTGTGAAGATAGATCATGAATAATAAATGTAATATATTGTCCTGCCCTATTACCTCTCCATCAGCTCTACAGGGCAAGAGCTCTCCAACACGGTGCAGAGGAAAACCCTTCTCGGCTGCCTCTTTAGAGCCCAAGAAACGAACGAAGTAAACAGCGTAGCAGAGCACCAGGAACCCTGTGTACACCAACTGAGAGAAGCCCACAGCTTAGAATCACTACACACACACTGCAAGTAATCACAGAATCAACGCAAAGAGGACATCAGCTGATTTCTTACATGAGCAGCAGAGAAGATGTAAAGGCCCCATTCACGAGCAAACACCATCAACAAAACGGTGATACTGCACTTAGCGATCATTGCTAAGCTCTCAGTGACCACCTTCAGTCGGACAAACATGTGAGCTTGAGCCAGGACCCAGAGGGGCTCAGCCAAGAGCTCCTGCACTCCTGACACAGCAAACATCACCACAGCGGGGCCGTAGTAAGGGACGGTCTGGGGGTCTGGGGCCTCCAGGAGCCACAGCCACACACAGATCAGCAGGGCTGCCCATAACACACCCAGAGGCAACCTGAGAGGTAAGACAAGACACACAGGTGAAAGTCCAAGCTGAATACACAGGATAAAACACACTCTATAAATCTAGTAAAATCACTCAACTCACGTCAACCATAGCAGATTGATAACTTGTCTCCAGCTGTGGTTTGTCCCCGATACCCCACTCAGACAGGCTCTCCGGAAAGCTTCTCTGGATAAAAATACTAATGTGGAGTACAGTAGTGTAAGCCTGCATAACACACACACACACACACACACACACACACACACACACACACACGTTAAATCAGCTGGTGCAGAAACGTGGTGGCATTGTCTCCTCTCTATCATCCTTACCTGACATTGACAACACCAATCAGCTCTTTGGAGACAAACCGCAGCGTGAATGCATTCAGCAGGAAGGTGAGGATACGGAACATCACCTGAGATCAATAAAAACAGAAAATCATATCATTGACCGAATTATTATTTATTATTTATTTTAAAATACTGGGCTGCTACGGTGGTGCATATCTCAAATGAATGTGTCCATGTACCTGTAGCAACATATTATACGACGCTAGAGTGGACGCACTCTTCAGAACATCCTGAGAACTCATTTTGAACTTCCTCTGACTCGCTGGAAATCTTTGTCAAGCGTGGATTTGACAACCCTCCCGCTGCTTTCTGCGAAGGAACATCATTGTAGAGTCATGCCGTGGAACCAGTTAGTGTGGCAATAACAATAGCGTCTAATTTATAATGAACTGGTGCAAGATCAACGTTATATTTGTTGCACAACGGCAGTAGTAGTTACACTTCCGTACACATTGTAGGGAAACACGTTACGCAGTGACGTCAGGGGGCGTTACGTCGCACGAGGCGTCGCTAGAGGGCGTAAACATCCTTCTGATGATCTGCCGTGAATCTCCATCTGTGTCTGTTACTTGCATGCTGATACTATTAAAGACATTTTACATTCACGACATTTATTCTGCCGAGAAAAGCCCATTTATGTATTTTATTTTCTCACATAGATGTCAAAATTAAATTAAAATGATTAACAATAACGTTGTTCAGGTACAAGCTGAAGTAATATACAAAGGCTTTTCAGTTGTTTTCTTTTTTTCATTATGTATTTTATTTTTACATACACAATGCCTTTATTTTTTTTATCACCTGAACATGTCATACCAATTCTAAGCACGTTTGCATCACTTTAGGAACAATTTGCTAATAAAATTGACTGAGCTTTATGTTTTATGTCATTGAGCAGTTGACAAAGTGGATCCAACCCAACCAGCAAGTGCCAAGCTGCCTTCTATAAGTTGTATTGATCTTAATGGAACAAACTTGTCTTTTGTTTATCAATGGAAAGTGAGTAAATTTAAATCTTTACAACAGAAAAATACATTGATACAAATGATACCAAAATGAACATTCATATGGAAGTACTAAAATACAACCTAAACAAACTTTCATTAGTTAACTGTCACCAGAGATAAACCCTGATCTGACTAAACCCTCTACAGTTTCCTCTTGTTTTTGAGAACTTAATCTTTCATAGTACGAAGACAATGTAAACTGCAGATGCTTTTAAAAATAGCACAACACACTTGGGAGTTGATGTTTTTTTAATCAGATGTAAAAGATGGAGACAGTAAAAAAAGTACATCCTTTGCTAACCAATATACATGTTACAACAATATACATACACATTGTCTATATACAGCATTTCAGTGACTCCCCGCTGTTTGAAGTCATGTACCATACGTGACCTTTTGCATCCACTACATGCCTTGTACACAGACAGGGCCTTTCAGTTTCTCTGTTAAAAAATGTTCTTTACATGGCACTGGAGAGTCAATCGCCACAAGGTCTTCTTTGTCAGCAAAACATGAGTCATCCAAATTAAATAATTATGATGTTTCAAAGACAGATAACATTCATTATTTATCTATATTTAAAGATAGTTAGGTTTATGTTGGTCTGAGATTTCTATACGTGCATTCAACTCATTCACACAAACTCCAAGTATACAGTAGAATTTATTCCTATAGGTTTCTTTTCCTCTTCATAATTTTTCATCCCCAGTTGGGTTGAATTGAATGTTACAAAAAGAGACACGATGGCTGTGATGGTAGCGGTGACGTCAAGTGGAATGTAAGGATTTTCAGCCTCCCGCCCTATTATTATTATTATTACTCAAAAATGCCTAAACAACCTAGACAAATAATAAGCATGCACACAAACACAATGACGACAATATGTACAGTACATGGGCTCTTTCTACTCTGATCATTTCTACACGTACCCAAAGAGAATAGTTTCTGCTTGAAATAAAGACACACAAATACTGATAGGGGAACAGCTCACTCGTTTGTAAGTTTAAGAATGTGAAAGAATCAGGAAACTGTCCGTAAGCAGTAGACATGTAACCCAGGTCTGGATGTCATCACAACAGTCACTTTTCTAAAAGGTGCTCCATCTCAGGGTTGATGAATGAAAAGCCAGCGAATGCCGTCTGATCCATGGAGTCTATGAAGTTCTTATCGCTGTAGGAGAGACGAGGCTTCTCACTGAGGAACTCCCGATCAAAGTTGCTACAATCATTCGGTGCTTTCTGTAATTGACAACAAACAAATCTCAGCAAAAAAAACAGAGTCGCTCATCACAGATCATAGATACAAGCAAACACAGCCCATGAGCTGTATTTTTTCCTAATTTAATCCTCAATGACTTGTATCAGCGGCTTACCACTTTGGGTTTGAAGGGGGGTTCAACCTCTCTCCTCTCCAAGGCCTGCCAGTTGATGTTGTTGAAGAACGTGTGTGAACGAATATTACCCACGATTCCTAGCCTGTGAGTTGGGTCTCTCTCAAACATCTGCGGTGAGACAAACTCAGTAAGGGTAAGTAAGGAATGTACACAATTACATCTCAAAAAGAGCTGATTTTCAGCTACACAAATGTACATTTCTTGATTGAATTTGAAGACATCCTTAAATGTAACCATAACATTATCAAATGTGGAAATACCTATTTCCCTGAAGCAGAAATGGAGCCCTATGACAAATGTATTTTGTATAAAAGGGTTGGTGCTCACCCGCTCAAGCAGGTCCTTGGCCTCCTTGTTGATCCAGCGGGGATAGTGGGGAGTGTCCATGCGGATGGACTCAAATAGCTCATCCTCATCATCTCCGTGGAAAGGCGACTGACCAACCAGCATTTCGTACACCAACACCCCAAATGACCACCAGTCAACGGAGAATGAGTATTTCTGACCCAGCAGGATCTGAGTTGAAACACAATATCGTAAATAAGAATTATTCTGGACAGCCACAGTAACTTGTTGCATGCAGAATGATAAAAACAAATCAGTATATTTGAATATTTCAGAACAAAAACAAGTATATACTGTAAGTATGAAACACTCTACCTCTGGAGCGATATAGTCAGGAGTACCGCAGAAAGTTGTGGCTCGATTCTCTCCAAACACATTCTCCTTGCACATGCCAAAGTCGGCTATCTTTATGTGCCCGTCCTGATCCAGCATCACATTGTCTAACTTAAGATCTCTGGAAACAAAACAACCACAGCAGGATTGGAAATAAGCACGAGTGATTTAGAAGATAACAGATTGTGAGTTTGCAACAATAAGGTTTGATCTGAAAATGTTGCGTTCATCAGAATAAAGTTAAAATGCCACTAAATGCTTCAATGTTTAAAATTAACTTTTAGATTAAGTATGTGATAAAAATAAATGCTGAGACAGTTTTGCCAGTTGGACTGTGAAATCTTGAATGCCCGCTGCTTTAAAACACCACTCAAGCCAGAAAGAACATTTAAATCACAGCTTAAAAAATGCTTTGAAGAACCAAAACATTTTGCATTTACTTAATGCTTTCATATTGACAACCATTTTTTTTCAAAGCATACTTTAAAATCTGTTTAATTCCTATTTTCAGGCAGCCATTGTGTTGTTTGTTTAAATATGATGTGAAATATCAAAATCTTGTAGAGATCTGAAACTTGCCTGAGATAAGTAATCATCGATCCACTGTTAATGTGTTAATTTATTACAAACTTTGTAGATGCTATTATATTATAACATGGTTATGCAATTGCAAACAGCTACACTATTACTCATTTTAAAATCAACTTTTTACTGCAAGAAATGAATAAATTCAGTTTTCTAAACATCCCCTGTTCACAATTGCATCGCAAAACACAAAGACACTTTCAGAAACAATGTGTCAAAATACGTGGGATTATCTAACCAAGCAAGTTTCAAGTGTTGCCAAGTTCACTTTCACTCTGGCAATGTGTTTGTGTATTCATCTTGTGGAAGATAGGAACATAATGCAATATGGTCAGCTGTGATGTAAAGAATATAGTAAAACATGAAAAATGACCAGTATGGTCATTCAGTGTATTTACTGTACATCCAGGTATAACACATATTTTTGCTCTGACCTGTAGATGACCCCTTTGGTATGTAAGAACTGAAGACCACAAACGATCTCAGCAGAGTAGAACCTGGGAAGACAAACGAGGCAGACGGATATGAACTTCTCATCTCTGGTGCTAAACTACAGGTCTGCTCTGTAGCTATCTCACTAGTGAGTTGGCAGCTGAACACTGGCGTCACTGCAGGCTCATTTCAGTGTAGGGCTGAATTATTGAGGAGTACATTTGTGTGGAGTAGCAGACAGGTGAATAACGCCCTCAAAATGGGAAACCTGAGAGCCGCGGTGAGCCGAAATATTAGCTTATCTTTGCCCTGCTTCTCTTGTCGTCTGTGTCGGGTGAAACAATTGAGTCCTGAGAAGAGATAGAGTGGCCTTCGCTCTAAACCAATAACTGGTCTTTCAATGTAAGTCAACGAGGTCTGAGTAGGCTGTCAGGTTTTATTTATTGATCATCTCTCACTTAAAATACAGAACCAGTTAGCAACCAACCTAAACCTACTCTACAGACGACACTACAAACATAATGTAAACTGAAGTCTAGATACAGCATAAGTAAATAAGTTGGGCTCTGCTACTGTATGTGAGGAACATTGAGACGTTGGACGGGACTCTCTACGCCACTGGGTCAAGAGGTTAGCTGTAGACACTGGGAGAACACATGTTATGCTAAAAATGAATGCATTCATAATGAAACAACCCGCTCTCTTTTTGTCTCACTCACTGAGGGTAAATTATCCATCCAGGCTGAATACAGTCACTGAGTGAGGAGGACTTAAGTGGATGCCAACACAAGATCGGGTGTCTGTGTTTGCTAAGCAGGGAATTACTCCTGTCATCTCATAGGCTCAGGACACAGCCTCCAGTTTAACTACAGGAGAGGTAACGGCAGACCACATTTTAATGTCCGTGTTCAGCCTGCTTTTTAAGCACACACCAGTTTGTTCTAAAGGTTTTAATTGTAATCTAAGTGGGACCATAATTTACCAAATGAACATCATGCTGTATTGAAGAATACTTTAAACTAGTGATTGAGACCATAAACTCATGTTTACAATGTTTACTGAGGTAATAAATCCAGTGAGAAGTAGAGTCATTTTCTCACAGTCAAACTTCGTATTGCCCCCTGATGGTGATCAGAAAGAATGCTAGTTTAAGGCACTTCTGCATTGGCTTCACTTTTCACACCCGGAGGTTGCCACCTGATAAAAACAAGGTGAAATCAATAGAGGTGACACTAGTTACTGGAAAAACCTTTTAAAAAGACCTTTTAAAACTTTAGTTGGCGGTGGCGCAGGTGCCAGCAAGCTTTAGAATTCACAACATTCTCTTTTACTAGTGTGCCATTGTTGTTGTTTTTTGGAGGGATTCCCACAGAGTGAAGAGAAGAGAGGTGGGTGGTAGTAACCAATACCTCCCCATACAAACAGTACACAGGCACTAAGAGCGGCTTAGTCCTTACAAGGCAAGTCTGCTAGAGAGCTGCAGCTGATGGACACCAGCCCCAGTCCATCAGGGTTCAGTATATCATGTAAACCAAAAGAACGCATAATGGGAGAGAGACAAAGAGAGTGACATGGGTAGAATAAACATGTGCTCATTTTTTCCATTAACTCATTGTTTGTGTATGCGTGAGTTCCTGCCCGGCTATAGGAACTAGAGAGCATTGAGTAATGATGGCAGTTTGTGCTTTTTACATTTTCTTTACACCAGCTCTGCATGTTGTAATGTCTGTGTTACAGGTGTGACTCACGTGGTTCTGTAAAGTTCAAAGCGTCCTTTCTCCTGAATATGAAACATCAGGTCTCCTCCGTTCAGATACTCCATCACAAAGAACAGATGCTCCTGTTGACAAGTTTCACTTTGAGTTTTGAGGGCACAATTCCAACTAGTGGTGTAGAGTAGGGGAAAAAAACACTGAAACACCAATGAGATGAAGTGGACTACCTTGGTATGGAAGGTGGAGTAAAGGTGTGTGAGGAAGGGGTTTCCCCAGGCTAAAGCCAAGACCCTCTTCTCCACCATAGTGCACTCCACATCGTCATCCATCAGCACCACATCTTTCTTCAAAGCCTTCACTGCAAAGTACTCACCACGACCCTTTAGCTCTGCCAGGAGAACCTGAGAGGCAACGAAGAAGAGAGACTTTAATTGTTTTCTGTTCTATTAAGAGCGTGAAGCTTGAAATGTCCGGTTAAGTTAAACAAATGTAAACATCTTGTCTACAGTTCATAGTTTGATTCAACACCCACATTTTATGTTATTGTTTCTATATGAGGCCTATGTGTGCCAGTGTGTATGACAGTTGACAAGCGTTGACTGGAGTGTTGTTGATTGGTTATCCTCTCACTCTTGGGTTTTTTTTTTTTTTTAAAACAGCCGTCTCACAGTAGACTTCACACTGACATGGGTGCTCTGTACCTTGCCAAAGCTGCCTTTTCCCAAGACCTTGTGGAAGACGAAGTTGTCCACGTTGATGCGGGTCAAATGGGTGATACGAGACTGAGGCCGCGAGTTGGCCCCCTCCCACAGTCTGCCATAGGGAGATCCATCTAACGAACAAACAATTACCACACGTAAAAAATTACACTTTTGCATATTATTCCGCCAGTATCATTATTAATACAGAGCCTATACCGCTCACATGAAAGCATGTAGGTACATGCACATACAGAAAAACACTCACTAACCATTGATCTCCAGTCCAGCGAGCTTGCTAACTTCATCGTAGATTCCAATATCAGGCAGATCAGACAGGTTGGGATCCAGGTTTGGATCTGAGCGGCGGGTGGACGATTTCTTTTGGAATAGAGAAAGAAAAAAATAAATGAAAGGCAAGGAACAGTCAGGCTAATCTCACATTCTGCTGCAGCATACAGCATAATATTTTGGGTTCATGCACAAGGACTTCTGGTTGCTCTGGTGACTCACACTTTCTCAAAACAACTTTTATTTTCTGTTTAATACTGCCATAGACCGCCTGCTGACTCCTCACTCACTACTCTTAACCATCCCACTGTGGCTATGGGCCTCTAGTGATAACACAACTGAGTGAATAGCCGCTGCTTCACAGCCAGAGACACAGTTATTCCGTTCCTTTTTATTATGCATTAACCTCATGGTTACACACGTATTGTAGACTAGAAGCCCAAATAAACTCTTCAAGTCACAGTTACACTACCGTGAGACGGAGCTGAGACGTGCGCCTGTACAGAGCCAGTAGAGACATCTTTATTGATTAAAATGAGTTTGTATCTGTTGAGTGGAAAACATGTCTGATACACTTGCAGTCTAGATGGGGGGGGGATGGCTAATTGTGGGTTGTGTTCATTCAATCAAACATTACAGCAGTGGTTGGTGCATATACACCTGGCGGAGACAATAACTCTACTGAGGGCACCTTTCTAGTTTGTTCAATTTTTTGCCTTAAGATTCAGTAACATCCTTGGACAATATCCAAATTAAGTGTTATACCACTTCAGACTCGCCTCCAGATACCAGAATAGAAAACGATACCATCTTTGTAAATATGAATGTTTATGAAAAAAAATGTTCAAATGTAAATATCTTATTATCTGAGGAGGGCATTCAAATGTATCATGTGCTTGTATTTTGTTGTGTTTATCATCTCATTATCAAGTTCCATTATTTTCTTTAAACACATCTCTGTATACTAACGGCTGAGTGAGAGATAATGTAATGAGATATCCACAATGTCTGAAAGTTGATAGGACCGAGCATTGAATGACTTGTGGCAGTCTCCATGAACTCACCTGGCTGACTTGTGTGAGTGCTTCAGCTAGTAGTTTCTGATTGATACCACAAAGGTTGGCTACTTTAGCCTGACACTTGTGATGGACATTCATGGCACAGTCTACAAACGGAACAAAGAAATGCTGTTTAAGATAAAAGCACATTTACACTCCAACAATTAGTCAATTATATTGGCACAGTACCTTCGCACTTCAGGCCTTGTTTGACAAGACCCCACAGCAGACTTCCACAGTGGTCGCAGAAGGTTGGACTCATGTAGTTGTGGTTCTTGAAACGGTGCGGCATGTCAATCTTAAAGCGCTCCTTCTGGAACTGCAGTGACAAACGAGATTCGTCATCTCCATGAATGACCCGAGGCAAAAGAATTCTAATCAGTAAGTTGTTTTTCCTTTTTTGTCGTCCATTTCTCTGTCTGGAGCTCATACTGTCAGAAGTGACCACAACGCTGGATAAAAAGTTCCTTGTTTGTTCCCAGGTCTACTACTTCACTGATTTAGAGTTCCCCTCTGAGACCACACCCCATGTTTGTGCTTGATTATATCCATGCCACCATTATCTAGGTCAGTTGGTCTTTGATCATCTTTATCTGTAAACATTGATGATCACTGAATAGCTGGTCCTATTGGATGTGGACCCTGACTGGTGTCTTTGTAATAAACTCTGACTCTCATTGTTCAAACTGATGGGGAGAGATATTTATAACAGCAAAAAGAACAGAGTGAGAAAAGCCCACACTAAACTGAAATTGTGAGACACTTACAGTACATGGTGTACTGCACAAAAAAGTGATACGTACCACAGTATCGCGACTGTTGGCAGCAGTGCCAGTACACCTGCCGATGATTTTGTCGATGCATTTCTTGTGGATGGCTGCATTGCATTCTGATAACAAACAAGATAAACAAGATTTGTACACTTCGATCCAGTATTTGAGCATATCATGTAAACTGGCCACAGAAATAAAAGAGTAAAGGATGTATTTTTAATATATACCATCTATGCACTGGGTTGCTATTTCAAGTATTGCATAAAGCCCAGGAGTTTTTAAATTATTGTACACTTACGTCTGCATTTATAGCCTTGCTTGTTGAGTCCCCTGTGGGAGGCAAAGTGACACAAATGGGTCAGACTGTATCCTTCTTTGATCATGTGAGTGTTAATGGTTTGCTGATTAATCACTTAGTTAGTGATAACGGACAGCTGCAGTACACCCAAGCTGATTTGTGTATCAGGGTTTCCTTTTTCGACTAGCTTCCTCTCCAGAGACCAAAATGAGCTTCAAAGCACTGTAATAAGCATCTGTAGCCAAAAAATGACAAATGTTGTCTTTGACACAGACAGACGTTACAACTTGAAGGGTAAGTTGACTTTATTCATTTCATCAATAACTTGACAAGCAACCAGTTTGTTTAACTCACTTTGAGGGATATTAGCCAACTCAGAGAGTATTAAATATATCGGCAAATAACAGGAGGTTCCGAAATACTGGTTTTAATCTAACTATGTCTTTTTGACTTTATTTGATCTGTGGTTTATGAGTTGCCCTTAAGTAGTCTGATGTAGGGCTGATGAGTAGGCAGGTCTTACCAGACAAATTCTCTGCACACGGAGCAGAAAGTGGGCTGCCTGAAAAACGTGGCAATGAACTCGTGGTTCTTTATGAAGTGGATCTTGGCCTGCTTGATGGCCCCTCGTCTACGGTTCAGGTTAGGAGTCTCCTCCTCCTCCTTGGCAGCCTGCTTATTCTCTTCAAGATACACAGAGAAACACTGATCAGTCATCCCAAAACAAAGAGGTTAGGATTTGGAACCAAGTTTACAGGGGATTTGGTGACAACATACAAAATGTTCAACTAGAGAAAAACAAATCAACCAGACAGCTACAGAAAATGATATAAATTACAGAGTACAGAGGAAAGTAGAGAATGTTTCCATTGTATTTCCTTTACCTGTATCCACTCCCTCCAGAAAGTACTGCACAGCCATCATCACTTTGCCAGACGGATGGAGATCCACCTGAACACACAAACACATACAAGCAGTTACACTTAAACGGCCTGTGAGATTGCTCTATCTATGGGGACAAAGGATAACGTGTAAAGTCCTACCCAGAACTCAGTGCGCCCGTTGGCTTTCTTGCAGCGCTCAGCAAGGACAGACACTCCGACAGTGACCTCAGCCAGAGGCTTCTCCGCTGTCTTCATCAACAGTATCTCGAGCACACGGCCCTCATAGATGTGCGCATCAAAACTGGCCTTCCAGGCCGGGTACATGGTTGGTTTGCGCTGAACCAGGGTCTTACCTCGTTCTAGGAAGAGGAAAATGGACAGAAAGAAAAGAAAGAAATATATTTTAATGTTTTAAAGTGCAGGAAATAAGAAGAAAGTGACTTCTTCTTTTTTTTACAGAAACAACTTCTGTAAAAGGATGGGAGGTGTAAGCTATCAGTTTCTCACCAGTTGTCAAGGCTTCCTTCATCTTGATTGCACAGAAAGGTGCGTCAACCAGAGGGTGCATGATGCCCAAGTCGTACGAGTTGAAGGCGATCCTCAAGAAAGGAGCCATGGTGCCAAGTACCAAGGTCACCTGCTTTCAGAGATGGACAAACACAGCGTTACCCTGGTGAGATGTATCTATAATGACATGTTAGTTACGCACACAGGTAGTTGGTTATTATAGCCACTTATTGCTTAAACACACACACTGGTGCATATTCTGCAGCAACACTCTGTGTTCACAGTTAAGCATCAAGATAAGTGTTCCAGTATTTACATTGTGAGACAAAACAATATCAGAGAATATTCCTGACATCCTGTCAGAGACCCGCACACAAAACAGTAGATCACTGTGTCAGCGAGGCAAAGCAAAAATGTAAACAGAGAAAAGAACTGGAAGAAAACTCAGGAAGCGCAACAGAAGGAATCCCTCTTCCAGGACAGGTAGACTACTTGTACAATAGATGTTGTGTATACAGAATAGACCACGGTCACATTTGTTCTTTGTTATCTAATTTTGAGACATTTCTACTCAGTCACAACCCCACGGAGGAGGGACACAAAGCACTTTTACACCTCCGTCAACAGCACCTGTTTTTGTGTGGAGGACTGACTAGTGAATGTGTTTTGTATCTGATTCCAAAGCTGATTGTTCGGGATAAAAAGAAAAAATGTTTTGGGATTAGGCATGTGCTGGCAAATTGAATACTTTAAGATTTTCCCACTGCTAGTTAAAAGAATTTAACAGTTTGAGACATAAATATTGAAAACTCGTTACATTAAAGATGATGGACACTAGTTGCATTCTTGTGCATTTAAGGTGAAATATATGCTGATATATTGGCGAGAGATCAATATCCCCCTACATGCTGGGCACTAGCTGTTACATGTGTGATTTACTGGTTGCATGAGCTTACTTGTGGTACAGATGGAACCACAACTTTTGCTGTAACAGCACCGCTAGTTTCCGTATGTGCAATGCAAAAAAATGGACGCCCATCAATCTCACATGTTGGCCAGGCACTTCAGTTGTTGTCTTGCATGTTTTGCCCACCCCTCAATAACAACCACAATGTAAAATGTGCCTACATCATTTGAGCCTCTGTCGCTGTGTTTTCTTGTGTGTAGTATCTGACAAGGTTGCAGCTGCAACAGTGGTGGTGTTTTCCTGTATCACAAAGGCAGAGCAGGCCTCAACATGCCGCTAACCCAAATACAAGCATGCAGCACACCGCAGTAGGCCTAGCTGGTATTCACAATCCTGAACCCTGAACCGCCCACTCTGAGACCAGAAAAGAAAGACACAAAAAAAAACACAAGGAAGAAAAAAGTACATACTAAGAAGGAATGGTGATGAACGACCATATTCACTCACCCACTGCTGCTGTTAGCTGTGATGTCAGGGTTTTGGTTGGAGTTAATCAATAGCAAGCACACTGTGTTATTGAGGTCGGTCGTGATTGATTACTTAGCAAATTGGCCATGTGCAGTTTCGATTTGGTCCATCTGTTAAAGTCAGTAGTTATGTCCCATGCACCGTTATAATGTAACTTGCAAACTTCCACCTAACTTCCTACTATTCATTTGTATTCTACCTACTTCCTGATACCAGCATTATGACCGACACAAAGGTGTGTTTGTAAGCCTAACAAGTACTACTACAAAGTTTAAATTATACTATGACACCTAGAATTTGGGCTATGTAATAACACTTAAGACAATTCTTTATTTGGGCATGTTTGCATGCATTTGAAATTCATATCTTAAAAAAAAAAAAAAAGATAGGCAGCTATAATACAGGCTTTGGATGTATATTATACAGTTGTAGCTGTTTTATTTAAATTAAGGAGAAACAGGGAGGGGTATACCCCTCTGTGACCGGGAGAAAAGAGAGAAGTAAAACACAGAAAAAGAGAGGGAGCTTGTACAGTGATCTGCTACAAACACCCTGTACAAAACACCACAGTAGTCATAAAGTACAGTGAAGCTGTTATAGTGATTTGCACACTAACGTTACATCTATGACCACGAGCCATTTGAAGAGAATCAAACATCAACCGAGAATCAGTAAGTGCACCTGATTTTCTTACTCTAACGGAGGTGGTTGATAAACGAAGATGTCACCTCACTTCGGTATCAGACAACAGTTTGCAACCGGATTTGCTTCATTACATATAAATGTAAAAGTTTTATATTTAAAAAAATAAACTTTCTTTCTTCTTTGCAGTCCAGACCTGCCCGCATTCCTCCTCACAACCGGCGTTATAACGTATTCTGTGACCCGTGATATTCTGTGACCTGAACTGGAATTCCACATTGCCACCATGGCCCCACACTCTGCATACTATAGCTAGTTAAACGTGACCGCATTGAGATGGGTACACATTACAAGTGGTAGCCAGTATCGAGCAGTTACCATAGTCCTAACACTTCACCTGTACAACCAATGCAGGCTTGTTTCCTCAGTGGACCCCGCGGCGCCCATGAAACAGGTCACAGATTCCATCGCATGTCAGATTAATTACACGAAGCGACGCTATCCGAACAAAGTTGGTTTGCGATTATAATTTCAATCAGAACGACCAGTCAACGCTAGGTAGTGACAATGTTGCAATGGAACTATAAACGGCGTCGACATTGTGTTTACGTTACTACTGTAAGTTAACGGTTACGGTTGAACGAGTTGCCGTTACAGTTCGTTTCATTGAGACAATGAGCAACTTTTTACAAACTCCACACGTTAGAAGACCTTAACTCTTGTGAAAACCTTGACTAAAAACAGTCTCACCTCGTCCTGCAAGTTTGTCTTCTGTCTGTTTGTCACCCCAGCACGATGAAGGCTCTCTTTATCTTCCTCTAGTCTTTAGCTCTGTGGTTCCGCCAATTGAGGAAGTGTGGCGCTCGCTCGCAGTTTACTCGGCAAACTGTGACGTTTACCTGCTACACGCTCACACACTCACACAAGCACTCACACACACACACACACACACATACATACACTCAAACACTGTGGTCTATGCCTCGGAAGTTCCAATGCATCCAGTTGCCCCATTTAAGATAAATACGGACCTGTCGCTTATTATTTTTAACTGTGCACTTGTCCTTCTCACGCAAATTTGTTTCAGCCACACGTGTCATTATTTTCCATTTCCTACCCGCAGATTAACATGATGATGTGTGTTCATCATCATCACTGCAGACCTGTTGATCGCCTGAGCTGAAAGAAAACCTGTCAACTATAACTGTAGATAAAGATCTGCATTGCTGAGTGCGCCCTAGATTACTGTAGCGCCTTGTATGTGGGGGTAGAGATGGTTTTCTTTCCACTTTAGGTGTTTGTGTGGCAGGAGGTGGGGTCACGTGGCTGGTACTGTAGGCTGCGGGGGTAGTTTTGAGGTTCGAGCTAGGTTTTGGCTGGTGAGGAGGTGGCTGATTTGGCTCCTGAAGCAATAGGATCTTTTCTTGTTCTGGACAAACAAAACCCTTCAAATTATCCATGTCCTTTATTTATTTCATGCCTGCACTCACCCCCTCACAAACACACACCCTGCACACATCCAAATATATCGTGTTTGCGTAAAGGAACAAGGGCGGCTGTTCTTATCTCATCAAGTGACGCAAATGAAATCTTGGCTGATGTGAACAAACACATAAATGAGGCATAAGGCAGATAAATTCCTCCGGAGAGAGTCATAAATAAATGTGTAAGTGCGGTTTAAAAATGGGATGAGAGCGTATATGTGTTGCTATAGGGAAAAGTCAATGTAAAGTGAAACCTGCCATTAACAGGCTGACCGTGCACAGGTGTGCCAGTGTCCTCTGAGGACTTGCATAACAGGCAAATTGTGAGTCATGGCAGACACAGGATGTCTAGGGTGGAGACTTGGTGTGTGCACTCATAACTTAATTCTTCGGCTCCTCTTCTCTGACAGATGCACATGCAAAGCTCGAGGAACCCTCTCCTTCTGTTCTTCCTCTAGCAAAAACACACACACACACGCACACACACACACACACACACGCACACACACACACACACACACACACACACACACACACACACACACACACACACACACACACACACACACACACACACATTACCGTCATGATCCACCCTTGGCCTAGGCTGTTGAACAGGCTGATGTTAAATTTAGCATACAGAGCCAGATGAAGATCCACATAGAAGCTTCCTGTGTATGGAGTTGATCCATATGGATGTATCGTCTGCTGGGAGTACAGACAGGATATATATA